GTAGTACACAGCTACGAATACACAGAGAAAGTGAGCAGCCACACCATAGCGCTATCGGTGTGCGAAAACTTTCGAGGTTCTAGATTGAGTCCCAGGACACGGCGGGACTAGCATTTCCGATAGCCTGATCGGTGTTCACCTTCATTATTTAGAAAGAGTTTCTTATTTGCGCTCGTAATAGAAACTTGCTGGGGGGTTACCGACTGTGCAGTGCCTGACGCAACTTGTTATGGAGACGAGAAGTGCACGCCATTTGAGTCATGGCCGCAGGCCGGCCGCGCACTCCCCGAGCACACATGACGCCCGCGCACACGTGCACTGCAGATGTCCTAGAAAAGTCTCGCAGCGTGGGGAACCACGAATCAGCATGCACTCCAAAATCCCCTCGCATGCGATTAGTCAGGATTAGTCTAGAAGGGCCAAAGCCTTATAATAGGCTGTGGTGGACACGCTAGTTCCATTCGAATGTCTCTGTACCGTCCTGAATAAAGGTTTGCTACCGGAACCACTCACTTGGCTTCTTCTGCCTATTAGTCGGGCCCGAATAAACTGGGCTATAGCAATTGGCGACGCCGAACTAACTGGGCTATAACACAACTCATTAAATGGCATCTGAAATCCTTAAATACGCTATCAGAGGGAGAATATTTGATCGCTGGGACAAGAAGTTCATGGGCCAGACGTTTCGGCTTCTGGCTTGAACCCATCATCAGAGACAACCACAGAAACGGTACAGGTTACACGGTACTTATAGTCCATAGCGTCAACGCGACCACCTGCGTACTACAATTATATAATGTCATGAACATCGCGTGAGGTCGTGATTGCTGGCCTGGCAGTTCGCATCCGAGACATTAATTGTGGCGATTTAATAATCCATGTTGGGTATTGGCGTGATAATTGCACGATAATTAGGCTCACTGTGAGCGAAATTGTTAATGGCCCGCGCCTGCCCTGTGTGACTGATTCCCCTACTCAGGCAAAGTCATTGCGCTTGTTGATGGATCGCGAACCTGAGAACCATGACTCGAGCAGCTCATGGCTCACGCGGCTGTTAGCTCTTGGGAGGATTTCCGCCTCGTCAAATTTGACAATGTGGCCGAAACCCATCGAGTGAGCTGCAACCTGATAGCTAGCGTCTTCCCTCCCCACCACTGCTGTGTGCTCGGTTATTCGGACTCGGGCACGGGCACGGACCGCCAAGCCATCATCGTCTCAATCACGACCCTGCTGCTAATGTTAGTACGCAAGTGGTCGCAT